CAGGCAGATTTCTGTGAGTTCAAGGCCAGCCTAGTTTACATAGAGCATTCTAGGCCAGCTGGGGCTACAGGGAGACCCTGTCAGTGTGATGGGGTCAAAAAACAGTGCCAAAAAAACAAAACAAACAAATCAAAACAAAGCAGAGATGAGAGAGAGAGAGAGAGAGAGAGAGAGAGAGAGAGAGAGAGAGAGAGTTCTAACATGATGAAATATTTTAAATCTAAATTTATTTACTTATTGTAGACAGGGTCTAGCTATGTAGATTAGGCCTCAAATTCTCAACTCTCCTGCCTCTGCCTCCTGAATGCTAAGACTATAATCATGTGCTACCACACCCAAGTGTAAATATATTTTACAAATGTTATTTACATTAATTTAAAAACATGTTAGGGCTAAGAGTGTAGCTTAGTGGTAGAACATTGGCCTAGCAAGTGTGAGGCCTTAGCTTAGTACCCTGCACTTAAAAATATATGAAATAAAAACTGAGAACTTGTAAACACACCATGTTTTCTTCTATTGTGCAGCTATCCATCTATCAAAAAAAAAAAAAAAACTGGGAAAATGTGCTTTGCTGACACCATAACTTTTGGTTTTATTTGGCAATATTGCAACTTTCCAAAATTTAGGTTTGACAACACTGGTCCATATAAAATTACATTAATAACAGTTACATGGACCTGTGGGACATTAAACATGCACTCAAACTCAGTCGTGCCAGCCAGGTATATCTTATTCTCAAAACTAATGGTTGTGCAGAATAACTTCATAAATACGTCTAGTGTTTATTTTAAATACAGGGTAGTTTAAAAAATAATTAATGCATAATAGGCACATGCCTTTAATCCAGCACTTGGGAGGCAGAGGCAGGCAATCTCTGTGAGATCAAGGCCAGTCTGATCTATAAAGTGAGTTCCAGGAGAGCTGGGGCTACAGGGAGACCCTGTTTCAAAAACAAACAAACAAACTATATACATATATATTCATTTATTTATTAATTATTGAGGAGGACGCACGTGTGTGCCACATCATGTATGTGGAGGCTGGAATCAACTTTTGGGAATCTGTTCCCTCCTTCTGCCCATGTGGGTTCTGAAAACTGAATTCAGGTTGTTAGGCTTGTGTGGCAAGCGCCTTTACAATCTTAATCATCTTGTTGGCTTACAGGGTACTTTTTTGTCTTACATGTTTAAGAAATCCAAGCAGTTGTTATATATTGTCTGTCTCAACAGTGAAACAAAGCTTTACTGTCCATTTTTCAAAACTCAATGTATTAGAAGCATATCCTCAGTCTGCAAGACAGGCTTGAAACAAACAGCAAAAAAATGCTGGTATCATTTGCAAATGCTTGTCACTCAGGATTCTTAGGACTTTCCAACAGGAGTAAATGAGTTTAGAGGCTGATGTGAGACCATGAGTAAGGTCTGTCATCTGAATTAAGTTTGGTGTTAGCCCCAAAAGCCTCACTGAATTAAGAAACTAAATAAAATTTTAAAATGGCATACACAAGTGCTGGGCGCATGCCTTTAATCCCAGCACTCGGGAGGCAGAGGCATATATATATATATATATATATATATATATGAATTTTTGGTTTTGTGTGGGAAAATCATGAAACCAGAGGAAGATGAAGAGAGAGAGAGAAGAAATCTGAATGGGGGAAAAGAAAGGAGGAAAAAAAAAAAAGGAATACCATCACTTGTGATGGAAGCAGAAGGGGCCACTGGGGGAAGAAGGGGTCTAGCAGAGGGGAGACCAATGCCATACTGAAACCCATTGAGTTGTATGCTAACTTAAAAAACTAAATATTTATTAGTTTTATATATTAGATGCCGATGTAACAGCTTCTGTAACTTATACTACTGGGAAACTTAAATTTTAAATTATGTTTCTCATTGTCTGAATATTTCCAGTCACTGTAGTTTTCATAAGTACTAATAAACTCAGTACATTTTACCTTTTTTTTTTAAAGACGCTGTTGTAAAATTCCATTGGAAAAGAGGTTTATACCTCCAAAAACTATTTGAAAATCACTTCTCTAAGCTACAAATTCTCCTAATAGTTTCTGGGAGAAGTACTGAAAATTAAACTCAGGACCTCCTGAGCTACACCCACAGTCCTAAGAAAACATAAATCTCCCAGCACATGAGGCTGACTTTAGCTATAGATTGTCAATCTTATATAATGGCAATAGTACAAACTGTTGATTTTTCAATTGTATTAGAGCAACATTGTGTGAACATTCAAATTCAAGAAATTTTGTGATACAGAAATGAATTTTGCTTCCCATTTGTGAATTGGATACTGACAGCAGCACATTTAAAGTTGCTCGGACAATGAATATGAATGCTCCAGTGATGTCTGTTTTCTCCCTGGCTGATCTCAGACAATGAATATGAATGCTCCAGTGATGTCCGTTTTCTCCCTGGCTGATCCTTCCTTCCATAAAAAGAAGATGATTTCTTCCTCCTTCTACTGGCAAATAAAGAGAACATTGAAGAAAATGAAGCTTGTTTGTTTTGTCCCAACTTCAGTTATTTTGAGCCATGGAGCCTCATTACAGAGCAGGATTTCTAAAGAATATACCAAGAAATGTGGACATAGTGAAAGCACAGAATGACCCAATTTATCCTGACGGATTTCAAATAGTTTCTGCTCAACTTTATCCAAAGCATAACTTGAATGGGGTGTAGCTCAGTGGTAGACTGCTCACCTAGCATATGCAAAGTACTAGGTTCAATCCCAACAATGAAAAAGAAGAAGAAAAAAATAACGAAACAAAAGATGAATCAATGACAAATTCATTTGAGAATCACATTTTCTTTAAAAAAAAAATTTTCTTAAGCCAAGTGTGGTGGTGCATGCCTTTAATCCCAGTGCTCGGGAGGCAGAGGCAGGCAGACCTCTACTGGCTCAGGGCCAGCCTGCTCTACATAGTGAGTTCCAGGTCAGCTAGGGCTACAGGTATCCCCTGTCTCAAATTTTTTTTCTTTAAATAATTTATTATTTCTATTTTAGGTATGAGTGTATTGCCTGCATGTAGGTAAGTGTTCCCCTGTTGTGCAGTGCCTGAGGTCAGAAGGTGTCAGATCCCCTGGAACTGAAGTTACAGATGGCTGTTAGCCACCATGTGGATGTTGGGATTTGAATCCAGGTCCTCTGAAGGAGTAGTCAGTGCTTTTAACTGTTGAGCCATCTCTCCAGCCCTGATTACTGTTTTCTATGAATATATGTGTTAATCATGTATAGGTATCCTGAAGATCTGTAGAATAACCTGGTATTTTTCATGAAAATTTGACTCTCTTGACTGAAGAAATGGCTCAGCAGTTAAGAGTACTGACTGCTCTTGCAGAGGACTTGGGTTTGATTCCCAGCACCCACATGGCAGTTAACAACCATCTGTAACTCCAGTTCTAAGGAATCCAACGCCTTCTTCTGACCGCCATGGCCACTGCAAGACATAGGAGCACTTACCTACATGCAGGCAATACACTTATACACAAAAAATAAAAATAGTAAGTTAAAAAACAAAACAGGAAACCAAAAAGTATGGCCTCTGAGCCAAATATGACTCTGAGCTAAGAATTATTTTTACATTTTTAAAGGGTGGTTTTAAAAAAAAGAATACGGGGCCGGAGAGATGGCGCAGAGGTTAAGAATACTGATGTTCTTGCAGAAGACCCGGGTTCAAATCCCAGCATCCACATGGCAGCTAACAACTGTACGTAACTCCAGTTCCAGGGGATCCAACGGCCTGTTCTGTTCTCCGTGGGCATTGCACGACATGGGTGCACTTACCTACATGCAGGCAATACATGCATACACGTACACATAGGCTGACTAGATTCATCAGATGGACAAGTAGTGGGGAATGGCTGGGGGTGCCAACAACATAGCAGACAGTACCAGGAATATCAGAGTATAAGGGCTCTAGTGGGGGGAGGAAGGCTATGGGAAGAAGGATTGATTCCCAGGACTCACATAGCAGCTAACAATTATCCATAACTCCAGTTCCAGGGGATCCAGTGCCGTCTTTTGACCTCCATGGGCATTGCACAACATGGGTGTACTTGCATACATGCAGGCAATACACTCATACACATGAAATAAAAGTAATAAAACATAAAAAAAGAAATTCACATACCTCACTGATTTTTCTGTGTTGAAGTGCTGTTATTTGGATCTATTGGGCTAACATATATAAAACCTTTAGGAATTTGGCTTCTTGGTACCAAATTCCTGGGACTGAGCCCAAGGCCTTGTGCATGCTAAGCATATGCTGTATTATGAACCTCATCCTGAGCCCACCTAGCCCCCCCACAACCCATACTACTAAAACTACTTTCACCTGTTCCTTTTTACTTGTTTATTGTAGCTACTAGAAAAGTTTGAATTGCATATGTGGCTTTCATCGTGTTCCCACTGGAAAGTTCCTGGGCTTACATGGGTTCATAACACTGTCAGGTGCTAGAGATTGTCCAGGAAAGGAAGTCCATCAAGGGATGACCATGTCATTGAGTACCTTGACCCCAGGATGAATCCTTTCTGACCAGCTGCTGCTGAGCCATTGACTCCTGATTTATCATCATCTGTGGGCATGGCATTCCTCTCAGCATGGGCCCTAGTCCCCATACCATCATTAAAATCAAAGTCAGTATTTTCTTGCAGTGCCTTCTCTTTTAAAAATTCCTTCTAGGCTCTTGCTGTGATGAAAATGGGTTTTGGAGGAGCAGTGGGTGCAGTGGAGGCTGGAAGCCTTTTACTCCCCTGGAAAGAAGAGGGATTAGTTCTAGTCTGTTTCTTTTTTGGGTTTTTTTTTTTTTTTTTTTTTACCGAAAAAAAAAAAAAAAAAAATACACAACAGACTGGCCATATGTGACTTGTAAAGCCTAAAATATATTATCCAGTTTTGTATACAAAGTTTTTAAGTTGATGAGAGAGATCAATGTGTATATTCACAACACAAAAATTATATATCTTAATATAAAAATAAAGTTTATTACCTGTTCATAATTTACACGTTGAATTTCTGAAATTTCTTTTGGCTTTGCCTCAAGCATGTAATCACCTGTAAAAAGAAATTATGAATTGCCTTTTTAATATTACCTTTTCTGCTTATAAAATATTTTAACATTGTAGCAACAGGTGTCTTATAAAACCAAGCCCTCATTCTACCCAGATAAAGTCAATGTTAACTGTTTGCATATTTTTCAACATATTATACAGCATATACATTTGAATTTTCCCTTCATCCCCTCGTCCCTCCTTCCTTCCTTTCTTTTTGTGGTACTGTAAACTGAGGCCAGGACCTTATTCATGTCACGCAAACATTCCACCCACCAAGCTACATCTCCAGACATTTTTCTACTTTTTTTTTTCTTAATATTTTATTATTTTTATTTTATGTGTATGAGTGTATTGCCTACATGTATGTGAGTGCACCCGGGTCATGTAATGCCATGGAGGTCAGAAGAAGGCTTCAGATTTCCCTGGAACTGGGTGGTTTGTAGCCACCATGTGGGTGCTGAGAATCGAACTCGGGTCCTCTGCAAGAGCAGTCAGTGCTTTTAACCGCTGAGCCATCTCTCTAACCCGCCCCCCTTTTTTTTTCTTTTTCTAAGGCAGTGTCTCACTCTATAGCCCTGGCTGGTCTTGGAACTCTGTAGAGTAGGTTGGCCTCGAACTCAGAGATTCCCAAGTGCCTCCCCAACCCCATCCCCTTCTTTAAACTTTTTGAGATAACGTATCACTAAGTTACCCAGGTTGGCTTGAACTTGCTCTGTAGCCCAGGCTAGCCTTGAACTTAAGATTATCCTGCCTGTCTCTTCTTTTATTTTCCATTTTACAATATATTTGAGCATCTTTCTGAAAGATCTCAAAGGTATACAAACTTTAATTGCTATGAACAATATAGCTATTTCTCCAATTACCTCATCAACTACAGTACTACCAATCTGACACTGAGTACCCCAGTCACTGGTATCAGTTTTTAATACATATGTAACATTTTAATATATGTGGCCACTTTAAAACTGTGAAGCACCATTTTAATATGCAGTATCTTTTTATCTATATATTATTTTTATATAAAAACTGTTGAAGTTGTTGGAAATTGAGCCCAGGGACTTGAGCATGCTAAGCATGTGCTCTAATACAGAGCTACAGACTCAGACTGGGTAGTGTCAGTGAAATTATGAATTAACTGTATATACTTCTTTTTATTTAAGTTACCTGCCTATTTAATTATTATCTTACTGAGTTGTAAAATCTTTTTATTTTTTAAAAAGTTTTATTACACTTCTATTTATTTTGACTGTTTGGGTATGTGTATGTATATCCATGCCATGGTACTCATGTGGAAGAACAACTTGTGGGATTCAGGTCTCTCCTTCCACCATATGGGTCCTGGTAAAAAAAAAAAATTCAGATTGTGAGGCTTGGTGACAGATGCCTTTACCCACTGGGCATCTCACTGGCCTTAAAAGTCCTTTCTTAAGGAGAGGAATTAGCACATTTCCTGTGATGTATATAGTAAATATTTTTTCCCATATTGTTTTTGCACTTTGTGATGTTTTTTGGTTTTGTTTGTTTGGCCTATTTTTCCCTTTATAATACTTACGTAGAATTTGAATTGGATGTCATGTGTAGAAAAATCTTTACCTCTTAAGGGTTTGTAAATATTCATAAATGTTTTCTATAACTTTATGCTTATCTCTTTTTAAAATCTTTCATTTTGCTGGGCATGGTAGCAAATGCCTTTAATCTCAGCACTTGGGAGGCAGAAGCAGGCAGATCTCTGTGAGTTCAAGGCCAACCTGGTTAGAAGCCTCAAGAAGACACTGTCTCAAAAAGACAAAAAAAAAAAAAAATCCTTTCATTTTATCTGGAATTTATTCTTATAAAAGCAGTTAAGATATAAACTAGCTTCTTACCCAAAGAGCTAACAGGTTAATGAAATTATTATAACCTATCTTTTCTAATTTGAAATAAACATAAAGATGACATCAAATATTCTCTTAAGTTTTGTAACTCTGATAACAAAATAATTCCCATAGACATCAATATATTCTGTTTGTTTGTTTGTTTGAGACAGGGTCTCCCTGTAGCCCTAGCTGGCCTGGAACTCACTATGTAGACTAGGCTGGCCTTGAACTCATAGAGATCCTCCCGAGTGCTTTTTCCCTATATTTTTAAATTTTAAAAAATTATTTATTTATTTATTTTTATATGTGTGTATTGCCTGCATGTAAGGAAATGCACCTGTGTCATGCAATGTTCGTGGAGGTCAGAAGAAGCTGTTGGATCCCCTGGGACTAGAGTTACTGACAGCTGTTAGCTGCCATGTGGGTGCTTGGATTCGAACCTGGGTCTTTTGCAAGAACAACCAGTGTTCTTAACTGCTGAGCCATCTCTCCAGCCCCTTCCCTATATTTTTAAAAAGTATTTTATTTAGGGGCTGGAGAGATAGCTCAGTGGTTAAGAGCACTGGCTGCTCTTGCAAAGGACCCAAGTTTAATTCCCAGCACCCACATGGTTGCTAACAACCAACCATAACTCCAGCTCCAGGGGATCTGATGCCCTCTTCTGGCCTCCACAGGCATTGTACAGGTGCACTTGTATACATGCAGGCAAAGTACTCTTATACATAAAAATATTTTATTATCTTATTATGTTTATGAGTGTTTTGCCTGCATGTCTGTAAATGCACTCGTGTCATTTAATGCCCTCAAAGGTCAGAAGAATGCATAGGGTCCCCTGGAACTGGAGTTACAGACCGAAGGGACTGTGAAAGTGTTCCTATGGCTTTAAAAATATGCTTGGTGGGGCTAGAGAGATGGCTCAGTGGTTAAGAGCACTGACCTCTCTTGCAGAGGACCCGGGTTCAATTCCCAGCACCCACATGGCGGCTATGAACCATCCTTAACTCCAGTTCCAGGGGAATCCAAAACCCTCTTCTGACCTCCACAGCACTGTACAATATGGGTGCACTCACATACATGCAGGCAATACACTCATACACATAAAAAAATAAAAATAATAAAGTATTTTTTAAACTGCTTGGTGAATTAAGCTGAACTTTGAGCATGTGTGTCTGGAGAACCTTTTTCTCATGAGAAAGTTTATGCAAGAATGCTTGTCTGAGGAGAATACCAGTACTCCCCTAGTTTCTTAGGCAACATGGCGATCTCCCAAGAAGACATATTATGGAGATAATGTCTTGATCATTTTATTTTGCTGAATTGTTATATTCAAGCCACATTATTATTATTCTGTGTTCTGTAAACATCTGGCTGTAGTTCTCATGAGTATGAGAAGCCATTTTATTATATTCAGTTCTGTAAACATATGACTGTGATTCTCAGGAGTATGAGAATAAAAGCAGAGCCACAGGTGCTATTAGTACTCAAGTGCAGGAAAGCCCTAAGTCCCGTGACTTATTATTAGTTCCACGGCAATCCATTCAGGTCCCGTGGCTGTCCCTGGTGGCCACAAAAGACCACTGTTAGCCTCCATGTGGGTGCCAGGAACCAAACTGGAGTCCCTCTAGAAGAGCAGCCAGTGCTCTTAACTGCTAAGCCATCTCTCCACCCATTTTTCCTGTGTTTTTGAGACAGGGTCTCACTATTCAGCCCATGTTGGCCTCAAACTCATGATTTTCCTTCCTTAGCCTCTTCAGTGCTGGGATTATAGGTGTGTGTCGCCACTTTTGGCCAATTTATGTCCAATGAATATCTCTAATGAAATGTGACAGAGTAATGAGATGTCACTTCTATAATTACAATAAAGAGTGTATCCTTCATTGTTGTGCTCTCCGTTGCTCCCTCTTCAGACAGACAGCCGCCACATTTTGGAATGACCTATGGAAGAGGCTTCTAAAACAAGAAACTACAGGAGGCTTTTGGTGGACAGTCAGTGGATAACTAAGGGCTTCCATCTAACAGCTCATGAAAAATTGAGTCCTGCCACCAACTGTGAGAGTGAAGAGCAGCCAAGGCTCCTCACTGCACACTGACCTGCAGCTGCGAAGAGCAGCCAAGGCTCCTCACTGCACACTGACCTGCAGCTGCGAAGAGCAGCCAAGGCTCCTCACTGCACACTGACCTGCAGCTGCGAAGAGCAGCCAAGGCTCCTCACTGCACACTGACCTGCAGCTGCAGTGCTATTAGCCACCATGACTGCTGTCTCCTAAGACCTTGAGTGAAGCTCCATCTAGATTCCTGACCCAAAGATACAAAGATAACGAATGCTTATTGTTGGGAGCCACTAAATTTGGAGGTTGTTATATCGCATTAGATAATTAATACAAGCACATAATATTAGATACATATATTAAAATTTTAATTTATTTTATATATATGAATGTTTTACCTGCATGTAGGTAAAGTGCAACTGTGTTGTGCAATGCCTGTGGAGGCCAGACGAGGGCATCTGGATCTGGCGTTACAAATTGTTGTTAGCTATCATGTGGGTGCTGGGAACCAAACTTGGGCCCCCTGGAAGAGCAGCCAGTGCTCTTAACCACCAAGCCATCTCTCCAGTCCCAGAATCATATATGTATATTTAAGGGGAATTTGTAATATAAGGATCAGATTGATGTGTATACATGTGTGCATGTGCATGTGTGTGCATGTGTTGGGGATCAAATCTGAGCTATACCCATAGGTAGGGTATTTTTTTTCATTATTTATTTATTGCTAATCTAAATTTTTTTTGAAAATTTCATATTTACATAATTTCACCCTTCTTCTCCCTCAAGTCGTTTCCCAGACTCCTTCTCAATATCCTGACCTCTTCTTTGTTATGTGTATGTGTGTGTTTGTGTGTGTGCGTGCAACCTACTAAGTCCATAAATATATTAGTATGTACATGTGTTTAGGGCTGGGACTGACCACATAACCTATCAGGAGCTCACCCCTAGAATCAAACGTTCTTAAAAAGAGGAATTTGAGTTCCTAAGAAAGCATCTTTCAACCTTCTGGTTTCCTTTCCCACTGGATCTCAACACTGGTCTTGGTGGTCATAAAGGACAAAGAGCATGTTGAAGCTGGCCTAACAGCCTTGTAGACTGCTATAAGCATGATGGCTAGATTCAAAGAGGGCTGCGAAAAAAAAAAAAGTAGAAGCAGGAGCAGAGAAGGAGGAGGAGGAGGAAGAGGAAGAGGAGGAGGAAAGCATCTTTCAATTTTATTTTGCTTCTTAAAACATAGTTTTTGAATATTTTATTATTTTTATTTTATGTGTATTGAGTGTATTGCCTGTATGTGTGTAAGTGCACCCATGTCATGTAATGCCCACAGAAGTCAGAAGAGGGTGTCAAATTCACCTGGAACTAGAGTTACAGACAGTTGTTAGCTGCCATGTAGGTGCTGAGAATTAAACCCGAGTCCTCTGCAAGAGCAACCAATGCTCTTAACCCCTGAGCCATCTCTCCAGCCCTTTAATTTTTTTTTAAACTGCAACTCACAATGTAGCCCAGACTGGTCTTAAACTTCTAGAATATAGTAACTCCCTATACCCTATAAGAGGAGCATGCCTGATGTATTTCTTCTTTATTTTGGGGGGTGTGTATATGTACAGGTGTGTGCAGGTGCATATGTATGTCAGGTACACACATGTGCACACGTGTGTAGGCCAGAGGTCAACCTCAGCTGTTGTTCCTTGTGATCTATCAACCTTGTTGAGACAGGGTCTCTCACTGGGGCTTAGGGTTCATCAATTAGACTAGTATGGCTGGTCAGTGAGCCCCAGGAATCTGCCCATCCCTTTCCCTAGCACTGGGTTTACAATTGAGTACAACTATGCCTGGCTTTTTTGCATGGTGTGCTGGATAGCTTTAGTGTCAACTTGACACACCTGGGTTGAGGGAGCCTCAACTGGGGAATTGCCTCTATTGGACTGGCCTGTGGCCATGTCTGAGGGGCATCTTCTTGATGAGTGATGTGGGAGGGCCCAGTCCACTGTGGGTGGTGCCACCCCTGGGCAGGTGGGTCTGTGTTGCATAAGAAAGCAGGCTGAGCAGGGGCCAGGGGAGCAAGCCAGTAAGCAGTGTTCCTCCATGGCCTGTGCTCCAGCTCCTACCTCCAGGTTCCTGTCCTGAGTTCCTACCTTGGACTCCTGGATGAACTGTGACCCGGGATATGTAAGCTAAATAAACCCTTTCCTCCCCAAATTGGTAGTGGTCAGAGTATTTTGTCACAGCAATGAAGAACAAACTAGGACACATGGGTTCTGGGAATTAACCTCAGGTCCTCAAGCTTATGTGGCTGATTTTTTTTGGTCAGAAATATGGCTGAATGGGTTGACCAGATTACAGAAAATCCTAAATAATAATATAATGTGTGATTGCCTTGTTAAAAACCATAGGGATGTGTGTGTGTGTGTGTGTGTGTGTGTGTGTGCTTGTGTGTGTCTGTGTGTGGTGTGTGGTGTGTTTAGGAAGAATATTCTGGCATATAGCTAACTTGGAGGGTAGAAGAATGACAGAATTTACAGAAAGTCAGCTTCTTAAGTGTCAGTATACAGAGAAAGAATTTCAAAGAAAGGCCCCATAAAACCTTGCAACTAAGGAGATATTCCAGGTAAATGGAAATCAAGACACAAGAACCTAATATTTACATTAGGCCAAGGAGAAAATTTGGCACATAGTTTATCTCAGATGAGCTCTGGAAGACACATAACTCTAAGAAAAATAACAATGCTTTTAACAACGATCACTTTTTCCAGCTCATTTATATTCAGGAGTGTTTAAAACAAAGCAATACCACCATCCCAGCTATTTTCTTCACTACACTTATCATCTTACAATTAGGGTGGCTGTGGTCATAACATGCATTCCAGTTTTTATGAGATTTGGTTTTAGTGTTTTGAGACAGGGTCTCCCTGTAGCCCCATCTGACCTGAACTCACTATGTAGACCAGGCTGGCCTTGTCTCACTGAGATTCACCTGCCTCAGCCTCTGAAGTGCTGGGATTAAAAGCATGCATTACCATGCCAGGTCTTTTTATGAGGTTTGTTAAAATCACATTTTAGTGGGTGGGATGAGGGCATGTGGTGGTCAGTGGACAAATCGCAGGAGTTGGCTCTTTACTTCTGCCATGTGGGTTCTGAGGACAGAATTCAGATCGTCAGGCCAGCACCTTAACCTGCTGAGTTTGTATTTTCTACCTCATTTATTTGCTTTTGGAGTCAAGGTCCACTATGCAGCCGAAGTATGTGCTACCTCATTCGGTACCCACTTTATTTTATTAGACTTCCTAATACCTTCCTAGGTGTCTGAATGTGTCATGCTACTTTCTTTATACCAAGTAACTTCAATAAGCCACATCTGTGTTTGGCCATGTTCTCATATTCTAGGAACAGAGATTTCCAAAATGAAACTCACTTCTTTCTCCCCTAACTTGTGCCAATCAAAATTCCTATCTCCGGGGCTGGAGAGATGGCTCAGCGGTTCAGAACACTGACTGTTCTTGCAGAAGATCCGGGTTTGAATCCCAGCACCCACATGGTAACTAACAACTGTCCGTAACTCCGGTTCCAGGGGATCCGACAGTCTCTTCTGTCCTCCTCGGGCATTGCACGATATGGGTGCACTTACCTAAATGCAGGCAATACACGCATACACATAAAATAAAAATAATAAATATTTTTTTTAAAAACTTTAAAAAACAAAATTTCTATCTCCATTGATTGTGGTGGTACATCCCTGCAAACCAAGCACTTAGAGGTTGAGGCAAGAGGATTGTTGAGATAAAGGGCAGCTTGGGCAATATTATAGCAAGACCCTGCTTCAAAATAATATTCCCAAAGTTGAGCTTGGTGGCACATGCTTGTAATCCCAGCACTGAGGAAGATGACAGGTGAATTTGTGGAGCTTGCTGGCCAGCCTAGCCTACTTGGCAAGCTTCAAGTCAATGAAAGAAAAACTGTCGGACACAGTGCCAGAGGGATAACACCTGAGTTTGTCCACTGGCCTCCATACACACGTGAGTTACCACACACCCACCCCCTCTC